GTAGGCTTGGACCTTCGAGGGTGTAGGGCTGCGTGTTCAGGTGTTGGTGGCATGGACTGTGTTGTCTGCCTAGTTTGCTGTTCCTGCCCTCTGTCCCATTGCCCTGGGCGTCAGGGGGATGTGTGGGGAGCCAGGGTGTGCAGGGAAGCACAGAGTGTGAGAACACGGGCCCTGGAGTCGGGCTGTGGACCTTGTGAGGTTACTGCCACAGCTGGCCTTGTTTCCTTCTTTGTAAATGGGGATAGGCAACAGCAGTACTTACAGGGCTGTTGTGAGGGTTAATTAAGGTAGCACATATAACACATTTAGTCTTGAGCTTGGCAGGTAGTTAATGCTCAACCAAGTTAACCGTTACTCTGTGTGTTCACACATGTCTGGGTGTGCGAGGGCATCTGTAAACGTGTGAGTCTGACTGGGAGTTATTTGTGCCGTTGTATTGGTAATGTAATCTGCGAGAGTGTATCTGTACAGTTATTTTTGTGGGCATGTGTGCCTGATTCTGTTCTTTGCTATAGGTATGTCATTTTGTGTCACCGTACATGTGTGATTAAATGACTGTGTAGGCATGTGTCTACATGGTAGAGTGATGAAGTATGTGGCTGTTGACACGTTGACACTGTGTCTATAGCGTATGCACACATCTATGATCGTGTCAGTGCTAAACACCCCCACGCACCCTCCCTATCCGTGGAGACGTCACAACCCTGGGTGTCCCTCATTTCCTCACCCTGCGGGAACCGGAACCCGTGGGCAGGGGCGGAGGTGGGTGCGGTGAGGAGGTGTTTAGACAGGAGCTCATGCTCCCTCCTAGACTGTGTAGGGGAGGGGAGCCCCCGATCCCGCACATATCCTGAAGGCTCCATAGGAAGTGCCCCCTCCAGCCTGTTCTCAGTGCCCTGTCTTGTCACCATGGCAGCAGTTGCCAGGGGCTCCCACGGTTGCTAAGATCTGAGTGTGGGAGGCTGCCAGGCCCTGTTGCCAGTAGAAACAGAGAATACTGGGGTGAAGGAAGACTACCCCCACAGCTGCTAGCTCTCTGCAGCGACAGAACTGGCCCTTGGGCCTCTCCTCTCCCCACATTTTACCTATGATTTGTATGTAGGAGTACTAGGTGTGTGTGTGTGTGTGTTGGGGGGACTTTAACAGGAAGCTGAAAATAGAATACTGGGATCTACCTTCTGAGGGAAAAATGGGGCTCTTCAGCCTGCCCATAACCATCTTTAAAGTTCAGAGGTCCTTAGAAATTAGTGACTACTTCATTTTGTCCCCCATCCCTCATACCTCTTCCCTGGGAAGTGTCCCTGCTTGGGTGACTAGGCATGCAATAACTGATGCTTTCACCTGGGCATAGGAACACAACATTGACCTGTTACCCTGCATGTGGAATGACTCCTTTCTGTGGCCAGACGTTAAACATCTCACCTGTTACACACTTCACACTGACATCAGAGCCCAGAATTTGGTCCCATACTGAGTCCCAACTATGGCCTCAGCCTAAGACACTCAACCTGGTTATAGTCCTGGATGAGACAGTTCCCTCAATCCAGCCTCAGCCTAACCTTTCTCCTAGACGTGGCTGAGCCTCAGTTTTGATAGCAGATACTTGAACTCATTCTCATGATCATTTCTGACCCTATACACTAGCAGCACGAAGCAGGGGACTAACTTCCTGGGGCTCACTAGAGTCTCCCTGCATGTTCTGAAGCTGCGTTGGTTAGTATCATTAAAGGTTCAAAAGGTTATTTCTTGCCTGGGGGGGTGGTGGTGGTGGTGAGTGTTAGAGATGACCAGCAGAGGGCGTGCAACATCAGGTTCTAGAGGCAAGTGCCAAGAGCCCACCTGTGAACTAAAGCAGTTAGTGTCTGAGTTGTGGATGCCAAAACTTTGGCATCACGTGGGTCCTTAAGTCATAGATCTTCTCCCTCTGGCGCAGCTGGGCTCAGGGCTGGGCACGCACCAGAAGGAGCTTAACTGTTTACTGGCATCTCAGGTCTCAAGAGGACTGTATACCCAGTAAATTATCCCACCCCCAACTCAACATTTCTGACACATGCTCATACAGCTTCACTGCCTTCCCTGGTATCCAGTTATCTTTTGGTCCTACTGAGCAGAATTTTGCCTCCTCATAGTATCCACCTTTCATCTTAGCTCTGTCCTCCTGTCCTCAAGCCCACGTTGACCTCATCAGCCTTGTCAGCAAACATCAGCAATCTGCATCCTTCAAGTCTGCTCCTCTCCAGGACTCCTGCCTTTGTGGCTTATTCCTCTGCCTTGTTTGACTCCAGCTTCTAAGATCATGTTCCTTTGAACGGGTCTCAGTTTGTGGTGCCTGACTCTGATTAGCTTTTTCCAGGAGCGCTGGTGCAGGAACAAATGAGCTGGCCTGCTTCCCTCCTCTGACTCTGAACTTCTTTCTACATAGCCTCAGATTAGGTCAGTTTGCTTTTTGGTAGCCACCTCTTACTGTTCACCCATAGCCCTTTTCTCTCTGAGCTGCTAAATCACCTCTTGCCCATTTGTGCTTGGTATAATTTTGAAAGGAAAGTTATAGTTATTTTAAAATAACAAAGATGGGCAGGCACATGGCTCGTGCCTATAATCCTAGCACTCTGGGAGGCTGAGGTGGGAGGATTGCTTGAGCTCAGGAGTTCAAGACCATCCTGAACAAGAGCAAGACCTCATCTCTACTAAAAATGGAAAAATTATCCAAGTGTTGTGGCATGTGCCTGTAGTCCCAGCTACTCAGGAGGCCGAGGCAGGAGAATCCCTTGAACCAAGGAGTTTGAAGTTGTAGTGAGCTACAATGAGCTACAAGTTGTAGTGAGCCACTGCATTCTACCCAGGGTGACAAAGCAAGACTGTGTCTCAAAAAATTAAGAATTAAAATTAAAAAACAAGGATACTTGACATAAATGAAATAAAAATATTTTAGCAACACCTCTGAGTTTTAGGGCAATACTTGGGTTTGGAAATCTCTGTGCTTGGTGTTTAATTAAAGATGGGACAAAGAGGCTGGGTGGGTGTAGTGGTTCATGTCTGTAATTGCAGTACTTTGGGAAGCTGAGGCCAGGAGTTTAAGACCAGCCTGGGCAACAGAATGAGACCTCATCTCTTAAAATTTTTTTTTAAATATTGGCTGGGCATGTGGTGTCTGCCTGTAGTCCCAGATACCCAGGAGGATTACTTCAGCCCAGGAGTTTGAGGTTACAATGAGCTATGATTGCACCACTGTGCTCTAGCCTGGGAGAGAGAAAAAAAACCTGCCTCTTAAAAAAAAAAAAAAGGGACAAAGAGGGACTGGAGGTTACCAGCTGGCTTGGCTGTGACTTCAGCACTGTGGACAGAGGCACCTCCAGCTATGCATGGGCCTGTGGGAGGGTGGGGATGACACAGCCTTCAGATGGAGCAGGTTACTCAGTGCCTTGCAGGGTATAAAGCTCTCTCCTCTTACCAAACTCATTCTCTCCACACTCAACTATCAGCCCAGGAGGATGCCAGGACAGGGACTATTTTCCAGATTTTTACAGATGGGGAAACTGAGGCTCAGCCAAGTCAAACTCTAAGCAATTCCTGGAAAAGGTGATATGTGAGAGAACACTACCCATGAGTAGCAGGTTTAGCAAGCCATTGTTTCTCTTTGTGGAGACTTTCCCTTGGGATAAAGTGGGAGTGCACTTGAGCCAGAGCAGAACAGGGTGGGTGGAGGTTTCTGTGGAATGGAGGCACGAGCCAGCTCTGGGAGCAGGTGGCAGTTGGTGAGAGAGGAACAGTCCCCAGGGAGTCTAAAGTTCCAGCTGGGACTAGTGCACTGAGGGTGGGGAGACCTTATTCATTAGGCTCCACAGAGATCCAGCCTTTATGTCTCTTTGTTCCAATGCTTAGCTTCACTGAGCCTTGAGACAAAGATAAGGGACCAGTGGAATGTCATTAAGATACTCTGAGTCCGAGGGACCCCCATAGGAAACTCCAGGGAGGACAGTAGGGGAGCCCAGTGAGTGAGTGGCATGAGTCGTGCAGGTGGTAGAAATCTGTGACAGGGCTACAGGCCTGGTTACCAGGCTGTGTCTATTTCCAGGTGGAAAGGGGAGGTGCTAGACCATGCAGCAGTGGTTCCCTTGAGGTGCACTTTGACAGGCAGCACAGCTGGAGGCAGACTACCTGCTTCCCCCAATTCCTAGCTGTGTGATTGTGCAACCTTGAGAAGCTCAGCCTCTCTGTTCCTCTCTTTCCTCATCCATAATGTAGATCTCATAGGGTTGGAGACTAACTACTTTATGCAAAGCACTGCCCACTGCATAGTGAGTGCTCAAAGATTAACGTTAGTGGTTACTTGGACTTGGAACCCCCTATGGTTCCTATGGTTTTGGAAGTAGAATATCTGCCTCTGATCCACAGCTTAGAGATGCCTTCCCATCTACAGGCACTGGCTCTGCTCCCACCAGGTAAAAGGGAGGAATGGAGATCCCACAGTCTTCCAAATGCTTCTTCAGACCTTAGTCATCCTAACCCTATCATATCACATTAAAACAATTTGTAAAATGGGGAGGAAACACTCAGACCAGGGAGAGCCCAGAAGACCAGGAGAAAACAACCAATGAGCTTCCCTCCTTTGTAGCTCAGCAGGAACTGGGAAAAATGCCTAAAACTGGCTCTTGGTGGAGAGAGAAACAATATAACAGATAGGCCCAGAGAGCTGTCTCAATTTCCCTGAACGCCCTGCCTCCTCCCTTTGGCACCCATTTCCCCTCTATATCTGTGGTGGAATCCAGAGGTGTCTGTACATCTGTCTGCATGTGGTGCTGCCCCTACCCCTACCCATCACTTGAGTCTTGGGAAGGGTCAGGGCCAGGAAAGCTCTAGAAAGACAGCCACAGTGTGCTGCAATTTTCCTGGAGGCCACAGCTGCCCCGGTCTTATTGTCAGACCCAAGAATTAGTCAATGATGGGAAACTACACAGAAATGGCAGGTTCCCCAAACAACAGGAAACAGGAAGCCAAAATAACATCACAATCTCTTTATTATGATTTCCACTGTGCCCAGCCTCTGGGAGCAGCTCCTTCTGGAGCGGCTGTGAAGGCTGGCCACAGGGAGGAGCATGCAGCTGTGGAGATGGAAAGACAGGGCCTGGGGTCGTCCCCCTCAGCTTCCTGTCAAGTTACCTTCTGCAGAAAAGCGCATGGGAAGGGCACGCGGGGCGGGGGCGTGCATCCTGCGCTGTTACTCAGGTGCTCTCAGAGCCCTCGTCACAAACCGTGCTTGCTGGAGCCAGAGCACGGCCAACCCTAAATGGCTGGAGGCAAGCCAGAAGGGCTTCGTCTCACCACGGATATGGGAAGGCCTTGCCACTTACACCTTGATGTTCTCCGCTGTGGTTGTGCGTCCCAGGGCTATACGAACTGGAACGCATTAGGCTTCTTAGTCACTGGCCCAGACGGGACCTGACCCCCCTCCATGCTCACTGGGGCATGTGGCCCAGAGAGAAGCTTTTCTTTAGTGCCAGTTGGGTCTAATGGAACCCAACCTGTTTGTTTTCCTTTCAAGGTTGCCAAAAACAGCAGCAGCAGGAAAAATGCCCAGTCCCACCCGACTCCAGGGCCGAGCTGTCAGGAACAGGCATGATGCATTAATATCCCTGACTCCAGGAGAGCCCACTGTGTGGGCTGCAGCCAGGGGCCCAGAGAGATATCCTGGGCAAATTCACATGAAGGGGCTTCGAGAAAGCAGCAATATCATTTCACTGTAAATAGGGGCGGGGTAAAAAGGGACTATGGTTACAGGTGCTGCCAGGATGTCCTGAAACTTGGGCAACAAGGTTGTTCTGCCTTTTAGTGCCATGCATGTATCTGCCTTCACTCTGCGAGTCTGAAGGGAACATGCGTGCAGGATCGCTAGCGCCTGCCACCAGTTCTCAGTCCTGCCTGGAGGTACTCTCCGCTCTGGGCAGTCATGGCTGGCCTGGGGCCCTGACAGCTTCTGCTAAGTTTCTCCCTTGGCTTTAGGGCTCCCTGGCGCCACTCTCACTGAAGCTGTGGTACCTGCAATGGTTGAGGTTGTGCCTTAGGCTAATGGCCGGGGACACAACCCTGGCAGTTTAATTCTGTGCTTTCCATATTGATGATAGGAACAGGGGAACCCTAAGACCTGGCCGCTTAAACAAGGCCAGGGTGACAGCCCATCGGGATCACCAGAGCCAGAAAGGCCAACGTCTGCTCTGCCACCCCAGTTGCTTGGGCTGAGGGAAGAAAAAGGCAATGTACTCATGGTTTCAGCCGTGGTTGTCCTCAAGGAAGAGCACTTGAGAATTGGATCAGTCCCTAGGAGGGAGGGAACGGCGCCATCCCTGCACACCACATCCCTGCACCTCTCCAGTGCTCTGTTGGGGAAGCTGGCCTCAGGAGAGGCCGCCAAGGAGCACATCTGGGGAGGTTACAGGGCCACGGCCACTTCCTCTGCTGGCCTCTGTCCCTGCAGCTCCACTGTTTTATCCACTGTCACTTATTTAAATGTGAACATGGGAAAGAGAAATGCTGGGTGAAAAACTACCAAGTGGTTTTCAGAGGAGCTGATCTGTAACCCAAGCCTTCCTTGGTTGAAGGCTGCTTGGAAAAACACCGATCTCACTGTTGGGCAGCCAAGAAAAGACTGAAACATTTTCTCATACCCTTATTAGAGCCAGACACTCATGATGGTACTTGGCAGAACTGCAGCGTCACAGTGATGGAAGGGCTGGAAACGGAAAGGGAGCGGCCTCACTAGGTTCATAAACGTTTTCACATCTCCACGCGTACTGCAGAGGGGCTCTGGGGACTAGGGCACTGTAATGGGAGATTCTGGATGGGGGCTTGGTGTGGGCCTTCTGCAATCCTGGACTGGGGAGCAACAGAGCATCCCCTTTGGTGAAACATTAGATGCCTGTGGAGAAGAGCCCGGCTGCTCCTCTGTGCTTTTCTGGGACTCCTGTGGACTGGGAACTCTATTCTTTGCTGGGGGCCCTCACCAAGGAAGCTTGCTGTCCTGGAACAGGGAGAAGGGTGATCGCAAATGGGCCTACTCCTGTGGTGGCCGAACTCGGGGGCCTGCTTTGCCAGGCCCTGGGATAGAGCAGGCCTGATCTGGCCCACGGACTCTCACCACTCACCCACAGAGAGGGAGAGGCAGCGGCTCCAGAGAGGTAGGCGTCACCTTGATCTGGGAAGGATCAGGGCACAAGATGGACTGCCAGTCCCCGTGACTGATGAGGAGGCAGGAGAAAAAAGCTATTCAGCTCTCAAAGCCCAGTGCTTGTCTCTACTTAAAACGCCCTGTCCGTGAGATCAAGCAGCCCAAGGCCACTGGCACAGGGGGTGACTTGCCAGGAGAGGAAGCGAGAGCCCCTGTGCTTAATGTGCTTTAATCTTCTCAGTGCAAAACCCCAGGCCTGGCTGCTTCAGACGCAGTCCTTGGCCTAAGAGTCATGTGCTTTCTTTTCTTCTCTGTTTTTTTTGACTAGACTGAATAATGGCCCCTCATCAGTCCTGGGAGTATGGTTGAGGAGTATTTACAAAAGCTGTGGGTTTTGAAATGTCCAGGGCCACACATATGAACCCAGATTTGTCTCCTGTCTGCTGCATTTCAGTCCTAAGTCATCCAGCCCCAGCAGCGTATCATCCTGCTTCCAGGTCAGGCACTTCCTACAGGGGAGACTAACTACTCAGGGCTCTTACCCAGCCCCGCTGCAGCTCCTTGCTTTCGTCCGAGCATCTCATCACTGAGAGGCACAAGCCTTCTGTAAGCACCCAATTTAGCACGAGTGCCTCGAGCAAAGAAAATATGTTAGCTTCCGCATGACTGAGCTCAACTCCCTCTTGAATAACTCTTGGGAGTCAGATCTGGCTACGCTTAAGTCATTAGGTTGGAAACAGAACCTAGAACCCAGACCCCAATGTGACCCATGACACACACTGACTTGAGAACTTATAAGAACTTGGGGAGGGGTGATGGGGCTTGGAGACCAGGCTTGGCGCCCTGGGGCAGCCTCTGCTTGCCTCCAGAGTCCTCCCACACCAGAAGGCCCCAGCCTGGTGGAGAAGGACATGCAGTGAGCAGCGAGAGAAGCAGCAACTCGAGGCACACCCCGGTGACAGGGAGAAGGGAAACTGAGGCTTTCCCAGGGCCTCCTCTGAGAAAGCTGCGATGCACGTCTTCTCATTCTCATTGCCAGGATGGCTGAAAGGAGTCTCTGCTCAGGGCAGCTGCAGAGCTGCTCTTTCTTGGGCTGTGGAAGAGGCTGGCTGCATTCTCCACACCATGGCACACTTGCCTAGGCCTGTGGCTGAGTTGAGCTGGAACGACGGGAGGGACTGAGCCCTGCCTCTCCTCTTCCAGCCAGACCACGTCCTCGTGGGTCTCTGTGGTAGCCTGCCCGGGTGAAGCAGCTAACAGGGGGCTGAACTCCTGCCACCGTTTTGTCCCATTCAGGCTCTGTGGGCTCTGGGCCATGAGCTACCATCTGAAAAACAGGGGCCGAGAAGGCTCGCCTTGGTTTTTAACTGTTCTGCTAAAGACTTTTGAACTTGGATGACCTGGCTGAGAGGTTCCTGGAATTCTGGGTCTCTGGGAGGGGCAGCCTCCCCCTCTTCCAGTCAGGATTCCACAAGCTAGTTGCCTTCTCTGCCACCAAGAATTAGAATTTAAATAAATAATAGGCAGAACTGCAGTGGTGGTTTGCAACTATTTTCCCACCCAAGTACAGCCGAGGTACACAGTACACACCTACTAGTAACAGTGGCTCACCACAGAAAGGATCTTCAGTGGGGGCAGAGGGGTCTGTCAGCATCTCCAAGGGGGTGATACGCCCCCTCATTAAGAATCACTTGGCCAGAGACTTATCTATTGGAAATGAGAACTGGCCAACAGGAGGGGTGAGTAGAGACTCCCTCCTCTACAGCAGGGCCTTCACAAGGGACTTTGGTCCTTTTTCAACGCAAAAGAACCAGGCTTCTGAAGGCATGGACAGCTAGGCATGTGTGTGCGTGCGTGTGCGTGTGTACACGCACATGTGTGTGTGGTGGCGGGTCCAGTCTATGATGTGAGGGCAGGCGGTGGTCCGGGAGCAGATGTGCCCACAGCTCCCTGGGCTTCTTGGCTGTGGCAACGCACTCACTGCCTCTGTAGTGAGGGCAACGGTGACTTCAGTGCTCTACAGCTCAGTGACAAGTTAAGATGGTGGCAGGGGCCCATCCCCATGAGTCTCAGTGCCAGAGGTTGGTGGGGGGAAGGGAGAGAGGAAAGGAGGGAGAGGATGTCACTGTCCCCGAACCAACTTCTCCACTCCATGCTATCCTGGGGGTTTCAGGTGAATGGCTGCGCTGTTGGGGCGAGCAGCCAGGATGTAGAGGACGTTCTCTCGCAGGAAGGTGGGCCAGTCCACAGATCTGGGGTGGAAGCAAAGAACAGGTTTGTGAAGCTGGTTGCAGAGCCTGAAGGCTTCTGAGACCTGAGTCCAGCGGTAGCGTGGGTTGGGCTAGGCATGCCTCAGGGAAGACGTGGCTCGTGCCTGGCGTGGTTATGGCTGGCTGCGCAGCCGAGCCAAGTCACCAGCTGGCTGGCTCTAGGGATCCGGGGCAAATGTGCACCCCTGGAGGTGGTTTCCGAGAAGTGGGTAATGCCCTCTCTTACTTCTGTGTGTGTGTCGGGGGTGCAGGGGGCACAGACAGCGGTGAGGATGTCTACTCACCTGGACTCCTGCTCTGTGGGCAGCAGGGTCTTGTCCTGACTCTTGCTACTGCTGCTGGCCGGGCTGCTGTCAGCTATGGGACCCACATGGCTGACGCTGCTAGGCACAAGGACATGTGGTTAGGAGTGGGATAATGAAAGGCCTGGCCCTGTCCCCTCCCAAACTCTGCTGAGCCCATGGATCTTCTGACAGAGCAGGGGCTGCCCTGTGCCCCAGGCGGTAGGCATCACCATCCTCTGCTTAATGCACAGGAGGATCCTCTTCTGGCTGCTGGCGGGGGAAGCAGGGAGGTACCTTTCACACCCAGGGCCACTGGCAAGAGAAAAGGAGGAGGGAGGCCAAGTGGGGGCAGGGCCTCATATGAGCAGACCTGACACTGCAGGATGGAGCTTCTGTAGGGCGTTTGCAAAACCAAGAGTGCTGGGCGCGGCCACACTCTGCCTCACTGATGGCACTCCCACTGCCCAGTGCCAGGAAGGTGGCTCGGGCTCGTTCCCGTTCCTTAACTGTCAGAAGCCTCAAGAGAGAGTTCTGGGGAAGAAGAGACAAGATCTTAGAGGTGACATGATCTTGTGAACCGCCAACCCACAGAGAATCCTACCTCCATTACCCCCTTTGCAGCCTCCCTTAGAAGTTGCCCAGAGCCTGTCTGGTAGCACCGACACTTTCAGTGGGGTCCAGTGCAAACCAGTCTTCCCTAGGCGTTTTCCTAGCCTGGGCACTGGATCACCCATCACGGGCTGGAATCTGAGGCCCCTCCTGACACTCCTCCCTGCTCAGAGAGTACTCCCTGTTCCCCTAGCCCACCCAGCATGCTTCCCAGTCACCCAGGATCCCATGGACATGCACCCCACTGGCCCTCACACCTGGGGACGCAGTTGCTGCAAAAGTAGGAGGGACTCATGGGACAGGAAGTCAGGCCACTCTATGTGGCCTCGATGTTCAGGGTCCAGGGCTGCAAACTGGCGGGCCGCCTGTTCCTCTTGCTCCTTGCTCAGGGCCCTGTCACCGTCCCCCCGCTTCGCTGCTTGGTGGCGATAGCGCAAGAAGTCCTCCAGCGTCAGGGAGCAATCTGTAGGAGGCACCCCATGTTGGCCACGCCCACCCTTCCTCAGCCTTGGGGCACCTCCTCTCACCCCAGGGCACCCTCAGTGCCCTCAGGCCTGTAGCTCTTGTTGAGCCTTTGCCTCCCATGGCCAGGGCAACTCAGGCTGTGGCAGGTGGTGTGTGCGGGCAACAACTCAGGAACAAGGACCCACTGGCCCCGGCCCCCTAACCTGGAATACTCCTTTCACGGTACATCCTAGAGACTGTGATGGAGACGTCTGCCCAACCCCCTCCATCCCAGCAGCACCGTCCACCTTACCAGGGATGACTTTACAATGCTGAAAGGTCTCCATGAGACTATACATTTCCTCCTCAGTAAGCAGCAAGTTGAGGTTGTCCTGAAAACAAGAAGAGCTGAGTCAGTGGCCATACAGGCCAGTAAGAAAGGCCAAGGATCAAGAGGGATGGAAATAGAATTTCAAATGGAAAGCAGTTCCAAGATCATCTAATCCCAGCCTCCTGTTCACAACCTAGGAGACTGAGGCCCCAGAAAGGGGAAAGGACTTGCTCTGAGGTGCCTTAACTCTGGGGCAGAATCCTCCCCAGAACCCAGATATCTTGACCCCAGCCCTGAGTCCCTTTTGCTAAATGTTTTTCAAATTATCCTCCGACCTAACCTTGGGATTTCTTGGAAGTGCCTTAGGAAGCTGCTACAGGGAATCGGGGGCCACTGAGTGGGCAGGACTATGAATCCCCACCTCCACCCACCAGAGCAGTTCCATCTTTACCCATTTCCTGCGCCTGCCTTCTGTGTTAGGCTGTGCTCGGAGTATTTTAGTTAGGTTTAATTCTAGCTCTGTTTCTAATGGGTTTAAATAACTCCAGAAGTGTTTGAAAGATGCCATCACAAGGTTCCTAAACCCAGATGAGTTTTTCATGGTGCTATAGAAGTTTTAATTTCAAACGAGCACTGATATCTTATTTTGTTAACATTACCATATAGTCCCTAAACTATCAAAAATTCTTTCTAGTAAAAGGTTAATTTTTTTTCCCTAAAAGACCAGCAAAGAACAAGAGCAGATATTTCATGAGTATTTATTTGTGAACTTCATAAAGAACTTAAACCATTCTTTTTATTCTATAATATTTTTATTTTTATTTTTGAGACAGAGCCTCACTCTATTGCCTGGGCTAGAGTGCCATGGCATCAGCCTAACTCACAACAACCTCAAACTCCTGGGCTCAAGCAATCCTTCTGCCTCAGCTTCCCAAGTGGCTGGGACTATAGGCATGCGCCACCATGCCCGGCTAATTTTTTTTTCTATATATATTAGTTGGTCAATTAATTTCTTTCTATTTAGAGTAGAGACGGGGTCTCACTCTTGCTCAGGCTGGTTTCGAACTCCTGACCTCGAGCAATCTGCCGGCCTCAGCCTCCCAGAGTGCTAGGATTACAGGCGTGAGCCACTGCACCCGGCCTATAATTTTTTTTGAGACAGAGTCTCACTCTGTTTCCCAGACTGGAGTGCAATGGTGCAATCATAGCTCACTGTAACCTCAAGCCCCTGGAGTCAAGCGACCCTCCTGCCTCAGCCTCCCAAATAGCTGGGATGACACATGCATGCCACCACGCTTAATTTTTTTCTTTTGCTTTTTTGTAGAGATGGGGTCTTGCTATATTGTCCAGGCTTGTCTTAAACTTCTAGGCTCAAGTGATCTTCCTGCCTTGACCTCTCAAAGTGCTAGGATTACAGGAGTGAGCCACTGCACCTGACAACACTTTTTTTAAAATATGGAAGGAGGGGGGAATGAGCAGGCAGGTTCAATTTCCTTTTTTTTTTTTTTTTGAGACAGAGTCTTACTATGTTACCCTAGGTAGAGTGCAATGGTATCATCATAGCTCACTGCAACCTCCAACTCCTGGGCTCAAGGGATCCTCCTATCTCAGCCTCCCAAATAGCTGGGACTACAGGCACATGCCACCATGCCTGGCTAATTTTTTTTTTCTCACTTTGTTGCCCAGGCTAGAGTGAGTGCTGTGGCATCAGCCTAGCTCACAGCAACCTCAAACTCCTGGGCTGAAGCAATCCTACTGCCTCAGCCTCCCAAGTAGCTGGGACTACAGGCATGCGCCACCATGCCCGGCTAATTTTTTCTATATATTTTTAGTTGGCCAATTAATTTCTTTCTATTTATAGTAGAGACGGGATCTCGATCTTGCTTAGGCTGAGTAAGAGCGAGACCCCGTCTCCCAAGTAGCTGGGGCTACAGACAAGTGCAACCATGCCTGGATAATTTTTTCTACATATATTAGTTGGCCAATTAATTTCTTTCTATTTATAGTAGAGGTGGGGTCTCACTCTTGCTCAGGCTGGTTTTGAACTCCTGACCTCGAGCAATCCGTCCGCCTCAGCCTCCCAGAGTGCTAGGATTACAGGCGTGAGCCACCGTGCCCAGCCTCCTGGCTAATTTTTCTATTTTTAGTAGAGATGGGATCTCACTGTTGCTCAGGCTGGTCTGAACTCCTGAGCTCAAGCGATCCTCCCACCTCAGCCTCCCAGAGTGCTAGGATTACAGACTTGAGCCACTGTGCCCAGCAGCCCTGACAATACTTTTCAAAAATTGATATAATATTTGTATTTTTCCCATTGTTTCAATAAACATTTATTGAGCACCTAGTGTAATGTACTGGGCACCACAATGGTGTGTAACATTGTGAGATGTTCAGTGTGGCTGGAGTTTAGAGTATGTGTGAGCAGGTGTGAGGGGAGGGTAGGGAGGATTGGTAAGAGATAAGGGAGGGGGTGGTAGCCCAACTGTGAAACACCTCAATGCCCTTTACTGAGCCCCACAGATTGGGCCTTTCCATGGAGAGTGCCATGGTCAGACCACTGACTGCCATGTGGGAAATGGGTGGGAGGAGCAAAGTCTAGAGGCATGCGGAGGTTGGGTAGCTGTTGCAGTAGTACAGGTAAGAAAAGATGAGTGGCTAAACTGAGACCTGAGTGTGCAGAGCAGGGGAGAGATGAGAGACAGTGGAGACAGGATCAACAGGACCTGCTGACTAACTGGATAGGAAGGATGAGGGAGGGAAATGAGCTGGGATTGGTAACTGGGGGAATGGTATTACTATGCACACAGATAAGGAATGGAGGAAGAACAGATTTTGGGACAAAGATGAGTTCATTTTGCGGCATGTTGAATGTGAAATACCTATGAGACATCAAGATGGATAAGTCTAAGAGACAGGAAATTTAAGTCTGGACACACAGATATGGGAGTCATTAGTGCTTAGATGGTGGCTGTAGATGAAGCCACCCAAAGAGAGAGTGTACAGAGAGAAGAGTGTTAACAACAGAACCCTGGGAAACACCAGCATTTTGGGCTGAGACAAGGAATGAAGGGCATTGAGAAAGAATGGTCAGAGAAGAAGGTTGGAGGAGAATCGTAGAGAAGGTACTGAATACCAAGAAAGGAGAGTTGCACGATGTCGGAGGTAATGTTAACAGTGGTTATACAAATGAAGTGGGATTTTGTTGATTTTCTATTTTATGGCATCTAGTTTCCATATCTGGTGTAATAATTCTCATAAAAATACACAAACTCTAAAAAAAGACAGGGGAATAAAGAAGTGCTAAATACTTCAGAGAGGTTAAGTGATAAGAAGCCTGAGAAAAGGTCACTGGACTTGACAATCAGCAGGTCACTGGTGACCTCAGGAAGAACCACTCAGCAGAATGATGGATGCAGAAGTCAGATTACAGGTGGTTGAGGAGCCACAAGGAGATGATGACGTTCTTTTAAGAAGCCTGACTATGCAGGGAAGGAAAGAAACGGCAGGAGCTTGGAAGAAGCCTTTGTGCAAAGCCCAGTGGAGAATGGTGGCAATGACGGTAGACTGTGGCAGAAGGCTGGGGAGGGAGCAGTGTGCTCCTGGGGGTCAGGAAGGAGACACTTTCAACCCAGCCCCACAGAAGCAGCACATGGCACAGCAGGGTCACTGAGGGAAAGGCGCACATTGGAGGTGTGGTGACCGGTACTAGAGAAGGTTCTCTGTATAGCGGGGGCTGCTGGGGTTTAATCCAGGGGAAAGGTGTTTAAGTGGCTGAGAATAACATTGTATATTTTATGCACAGCCACAGAGAAAGAGTTATTTGTTACAAAGTGGCAATTATTCCTACTGCTTTCTTCTAGGCAGTAGGAATAAGAGGGGGATTAGCAGATGCTCCTGATCAGTAAATAATGAAGACGTCTGCAAGACAGATCAACAAGGCAAGGCTCGCACTCTATTCAGGTGTGGTGAGAAATGGATATGAATCTGGCCTTCAATGGAAACCTTAGACTCTGTCCTTCATTAGAAGTTGGAAGGCATTTATATATAATTTGCAAAGTTCTGAATCAATATAGCTTGGTTATTTAATTCACATATTGACCACTTCAGAGGTGAAGGGCAAATGCTTCTAAGAGTCAGGTGACAGGCCAAGTAAGGATCTCAGAACTAAGAGTTTTGCTTGTGATAGCATCTATCCCTATTGGAAGCAAGCTGGTTAGGATCTCAGGTTCATTTTCAGATAGATACAATTAATGGCGACCACAGACCATGAAAGCATGCTCCGAGCAGAATTGCTTTTGAGTAATTAGGACTCATTTGACCCAGTCAATCCTCTAGCTCAGTGGTCCTCATCTGGGCATGTCTGTGCTCCCCCCAGGACACATTTGGTAATGTCTGGAGATAATTTTGGTTGTCACAACTGGGGGTGTGTACTACTGGCATCTAATGGAGTAGAGGCCAGGGATGCGGCTAAACATCCTACAGTGCGCCCAGCCCCCAACACGAAGAACTATCTAGCCTCAAATGTCAATAGTTCTGAGGTTGAGTAACCGCATCCTAGCTCTAGGACCCTCATAGGTACTATTAGAAAACCCTTTAGGTCACTGCCTAGAAGCAAATATTCTAAGACCGGGCCTCCAGGAAAAGTGCCAAGTCCTCTGCTGTCCCTGCCATCCAGGCTCACACAGTAGTGGCAGCTCCAGCCTGTTTCCGTGTGGGCCATCTCGGTCACCTCCGCTGAACCTTCTCCTTGGATGTAGCCCATGCGGCGCAGGCAGCCATCATGGAAAACCCTGGTGCAGACTCTGCACGGGAAGAGGCTCTCAGCCGTCCAGACCTCACAGACATCACACATCTCATCGTTGACAACCTGAGGAAAGATGAGGAATGTGTAAGTACAAGTGGCAAGATCCTCTGGCCACTAACCGCAGAGCTACCTGCACGGAGCTGAGAGTCCCCCGAGCAGTCTAAAGGAACAGGCCCAACTGAAGCCACCATTAAGGCAACAGATAGAACTTTCTTTCTGGAGGACAAGAACCAGGAGGCTCTTCCATCTGCTCAGCCTTTTGTAACTACGTTTATGAACAAGGATGGTACTGGTATTTTTGGAAAAAACAATCTATCTTTCTGAGACATTGTCTCAGGCCTTGCAGGAAATCTATCATCCCTGGTTTTCTTGGTACCAAATACTAGTAGCAACCCCCTGCCATTGTGACCCTCCCCAACTCTCCCCTCCCAAATGCCTCCTACAGCGGGTAGCACTCTCTGTGCTTGAGAACCTAAGGGCAGGAGGCTTGGCAGAAGACCTGCCATGGTGTCATTCGTTATCACCCATTGCCCCAAGTGTTTCACTGAGATGAGTCTGGGATGTAACAAACATTTTTAATCTTGTGGAAGAAATTCAAAGATTGTTTTGGACTCAGCTCCAGATTTGAATCTCACCTTAACTATACCCAGGCCTCCCCTATCCTGCTCCCTGATCCTCAGATGAGCTAAGACGTGTGGATCCTGCCCTAACCAGACACTCACAGGCTCTCTGGGCTCCAAGCAGATTTCTGGAGGCTTGTCGTCATCCAGCTTCCTCGTGGGGCGGATGAAGGCAGGTGGTGTGAAACGACTGGTCCTGTCGAACTCCTCGGGCTCTACTCCACGCCCATCTCGGAGCCGCTCCCAGGCTGCACGGTGGACACTGCTCTCTTCCTGGGCCACTGCGGTGCCTGCCTCTGCTTCTTTCTCCTCCTGTACCTCCTGGACGGAGCCCTCCACCGTGCCACGGCGGGACCCTGGTAGCTCCCCCGTGCGCCGGAGGGAAGGCCTGTCCCGAAGCCCATCCTTGAAGGCAGACACAGCCAGGCTCACCTTCTGCACCTGCTCTACTGTCTGCCGCTTGGACATCAACACCCCCATGGCTCTACGGACAAAAAGCAGAGGGGCACAGATTCAGCCAATGGCTGAGTGTGTTTTGGCCAATCAGTTTCAACTTAAGTGGAAGGAGCTACTAAATAGTCTCTCCCTCTTCTAGAACTCAGTAGCATGGTTCGGTGGACACAGCACGTGTGAAGCAGTCAGAAGACCCTGGTTCTACTTCCGACTGGCCCTGTGACTTTGATTTCCCCATCTATGGAATGAGGGCTCTCTGCCCAGCCCACGTCACAGTGCTGTCGTGAGGGTAACATAAGAAATGGGCTTAATGGTGCTTAGTAACCTGGAAAGCGCTCTACGTATATGAAACGGCATCTCTGTCCTTCCTTCATGTGCTAAAGCCAGTTTGGTTCAGGGGATCCCACACCTCGGCTACTCTGAAATAGTTGGAGACTTCAGAGCCCAAAGTTTTCCTCTACCCCACGAGAAGACTCAAGGCTTAAAGCACGCTGGCAGCAACACATTTCAGGCCTTCTGTAGGAAAACTTCTACAAGTGCTGTGCACAAACCCTCCAGCGATAATCCTCATCAAATGCCTACTTTTTAAGTCAGAGTGAACGAACTCCTATTTTTAGAAGATTCCTGAAGTAGGTAGTAAGGAAACTCTGCCACCCCTATCCATGTGGTCAGGGTCACACAAACACTCCTTTGCCCCTCTCACTAGTAGCTCTGCCTCCTTGTGGGTTTATCTGCCACAGGCAACTGGCCTATTACAGGCTCTAAGGCACTTCTTCACACTTAAGGGTTCACTAACATCACTCCCAAATTCATTTTCTGCTTTGATCTTCTGAGTTGTTCACAAAAGGTCCATATCCTTCATAGGTTAAAAAGTAACGTTATCCCTGCCCTTTTCTACAGTACCAGAGTGAGGGCATGACATGGCACACTGCATGTCAGCTGGGGCATGCTTTTTCTAACCGGAGCAGAGAGTCCATTTTGGCCTTGCTCTCGATCCATTCTAATCAAGCCTTATGGAATGAGGAGAGTATGTGCGAGGTTCTAACTACCCATTATAGGAAATAGAAGACAGGAGAACAGAGTCTCACCACTCAAGCTACTTACTGTCAGAATTCAAAGAAGTCATACAAAGTGTTGGGGGTACCTAAAGGAAGGTGAGACCACACTATTGGGGGGCAAAGTGGACCTTGAAGGATGGGTAGGAAGTTATCCTCAGTTTGTTTTGGGGAAAAGGTGACAGTGGGTAGGAGGAGAGGTAGGGCCAATTCAAAGGCTACTGTAATAGTCCAGGCAAGAGGTAGAGAGTTTGAACTGAAGTAATAGCAGGAATGATACCGAGTTTATGTTACCATGGAAATAGAATTAGGGAAATTTAGTAATAAATTGATAACTGATTAGATCAAGGATAAAGGGAGAGAGGGCAGTTTTAAATTAACTAATTAGAAGAATGGTAGTGCCAGTTACAGAAATTGGGAAATAAGAAAAGAGGGATAATTACATTGGCTTTCTATACATGTTGAATTAAAGATGTCTCTGGGACATTCAGATGTCATATCATCCTCTGCTTAAAACTTTTCAATGTTTTAAGGATAAAGTCTTTCAGGATAAAGTTGCCCAAATCAGTCTCTTTCCGAAGCCTAAGAGGCCCAGCAAGGTCTGGCTCCCTACTTTAGTCTGTGTTCCAACCACGCTGGCCTTCTTTCATGCTTTACTTGCACGCTCCCTCTATTTTTGGGCCCTTTGAACATTCCCCCCCACTTGATTAGTGCTTATTGGTCTATCAGAGCTCAGCTCAAGTATCATCACTTCCTCAGGGCGGTCACTGCTGGCTCCAGTCCAGGGCCGGGTGCTCACAGAGCTCTTGCTCTGGGGCGCTTATCTTCATCATTATATATTCAACTGGATAATTATCTGATTAATGTCAGTTTCCTCTATTAGACTGTTTTATCCTGCACAGTCCCTATCTCCACTGCCTAGCAATGTGTCTGGAACAGAATAGATGCTTAATAAACATTTTCCAATTAATTAATTAATTGTGGAGGATTCTTTTTGCTTTTTAAATAAAACCTTAATATACATAGTGTATTTCCCCGAAAATAAGACCTACCCATAAAATAAGCCCCAGGAGGATTTCTAAGCATTTGTGCAATATAAGCCCTACCCCGAAAATAAGACCTAGTGATGAGTGTGGCTATGCAGCATATCTGCACAACCCATGCATTTCATCACGGAGCGGTAAAGAAGACCAACAGCCCTTCTCATCTGCCCCATCGTGACAGCTACTACCCCAGAGGTGACTGGAAAAGTGCGGGCAGCCTCACCAACAAGGTCGGCTCCGCCTGTCAGGTCCTGGCCATCCTGTGCGTGCTGCAAGCTCAGGCTTTGAGGGGAAAATAACACATCCCCTGAAAATAAGCCCTAGGGTGTCTTCTTGAGGAAAGATAAATATAAGACCTTGACTTATTTTCAGGGAAACATGGTAATATCTGATGACAGCTATATCTTCTTTTCAGAAACACTGCTTGTATGCACCACAATGATGCAAATGCCTACCTTGCCCTGATGCTTGGCCTGCCATCTTGTTACCAAGGAAACCCATATTTCTGAATGTTTTTTTCTTTTATTTTTCCATACAGAGCAAAAGACCAGATATTCCTGAATTTATAAACTGAGTGATAAGAAAGAATCACTTCCTCCTGCCCCAATTTGCAAATATGTTTGTAATAGTAAAGTATATGACTAAGGATCATTTACTTTAAATACTTAATACTGTCTTAAAGGACAGTTTCAAAGCAGATTCATTGAGGAAAGATTTACTGAGCAAATTCAAGAAATTACTTAAGGTATTCATGCCCCAGTGCACATTTAATAATAAACTGTAGGATCACGCCTGTAATCCTAGCACTCTGGGAGGCCAAGGTGGGAGGATTGGCTCAAGGTCAGGATTTTGAAACCAGCTTGAGCAAGAGCGAGACCCTGTCTCTACTAAAAATAGAAAGAAATTAATTGGCCAACTAAAAATATATAGAAAAAATTAGCCAGGCATGGTGGCACATGCCTGTAGTTCCAGCTACAAAGGAGGCTGAGGCAGAAGGATCACTTGAGCCCAGGAGTTTGAGGTTGCTATGAGCCAGGCTGATGCCACGGCACTCAAGCCCGGGCAACAGGGTGAGACTCAGTCTCAAAAATAATAATAATAATAGGCCGGGCGCAGTGGCTCACGCCTGTAATCCTAGCACTCTGGGAGGCCAAGGTGGGAGGATTGGCTCAAGGTCAGGATTTTGAAACCAGCTTGAGCAAGAGCGAGACCCTGTCTCTACTAAAAATAGAAAGAAATTAATTGGCCAACTAAAAATATATAGAAAAAATTAGCCGGGCATGGTGGCACATGCCTGTAGTCCCAGCTACTCGGGAGGCTGAGGCAGGAGGATCGCCTGACCCCAGGAGTTTGAGGTTGCTGTGAGCTAGGCTGACGCCATAGCACTCACTCTAGCCTGGGCAACAGAGTGAGACTCTGTCTCAAAAAAAAAAAAAAAAAAAAGAAATCTTAGGGTTGCTAACCTGGTGACTTGTTTCAGTTTTGCATGTGCTGTCCTGTGACCCAGAAAATGCTGCCTACTGCTTTGGGCTTTGGTTCTCTATCTGGTAATGAGTGTGTTTGGAGCATATGGTCTTAAGCACTTAGAATGCTCATGTTCTTTTTCATATTCTTTTAAAAGTTCACATGACCTAATGAGGGTATCCAGCCAGGGTGGGGGTGGGGCTGGAGAGGAGAGTGTGTATGTATGTTTAAGTTTTTGCTGAGGCTTTGGGCCAAGGAGGTTCTTGAAGAGGCTGGGCCTGTTGTCCCCAGACACTGCCACATACCTCATGGCAACAGCTGTGCTCTACGGTTAGGTGGGAGGGCAAGTCCCCAACTTACAGTGAGAGGCATACTAAAAGGGAAAATGCAAAATGACACACAAACATTCATGGCATATTTTTATTATAAACAATTACATTTTCCAGAATCACTAGGTTTTCCTTAGAAACTTTCAGTGTTATGTTTTTCAAATTTTTGGACTGTGACCCCAGGAAGAGCTTGATAGTATCCTCTTGGTTCTTGGGGATATATAGAAGGTACTAGTTCTCCAAATGTTGGGGGTAGCCTCCTTCCAGAAGTTATATCAGAAGTTTTAGGGAACAGTCACAAGACTTTTGCATTTATCAGGAAGAAGCCGTAGGTTGAAAAAAAAAGTTAAGAAACACTTATTTGGAGATCTGGAATAAACATACTAAATTTACTTTTTCACGAATGATTCATTAGAGGGAAATCAATGGTATGGTTCTCCTTGGCTTTTTAAGATGATGTAATCAGAGTTATTGACAAAGGCCAGCCAGTTAGGAGGGTTACTCTATAAGTAAACTGACTGATTAAGAGTGAATCAGCAAACTAACCACAGACACCTCCCAACACATTGTAGATCTGCTACAACCCCATCTCTGTAAGGATAACAAAAATCACTATTAAGCTTTCTCAATTGTTAATGATACCATTGCAATGGTTTTGGGATTTTATCCTTAAAGGAATTTCTATGAAGACTGAAGCTGACATGTACCAGCAAAACAAACAAACATAAAAACAACAAACAAAAAAACACTTTCCAGTCCTGACCACAGGCTCTTGGAGCATGTAATTTCTTTTACCTGAGAGGGTTCAATTTTCTAGACCCCTTTATACCTGGAAGAGCAGAAAATGTTGAGTAGAACCATTAAAAGGAAACCATCAGGATCCAAACAAGACCCCAAGTCATTTTGAATTGATATGGCTTTGATTTTGACAATAAACTGTGAAGACGCAACAAATTAAGCTTTAAGAGTAAGGCTAAATCCCTTACTGCTTAATGGAGAGAATCAAACCTGTATACAAAAGACACTTTGATTAAAAGTAAGTGTGCTAAAATATCTGAGATGTGCACCTGGGGTGTTTGAGAAATTAAAATCAGCTCAAATTTCTAGAGAAACAAGTGCTAGTGATTAGTGCTGGGTAAA